GAAAAAAGAAAACTAAGCTCTCTAATACCCAGAACAAAGGCATGGAGACTGAATATTGCTGTGGAACTTGGGGTACCAGGTAGGCATGAAGTAGTTCCCCGTCACTTATGAAGTACATAAGGGGACTAGAATAGCACATTTGGAGAAATTAAGAGCAGAAAATCCATTCTTGTTAGGACACTTCCATTAATACCTACCCAGATTAAAAGCATATTTCTCTGTCACAAGAGAAAAAGAAAGAGCAACTCTGTTCTCTCTGAAAAATAGGATAGGGTGATGTAGAGTAGGAAGGTTAGGAAGAGATCTGGTGTAGGGTCCAAAAATCTGTAACTTCAGGACAGGAAAGCAGATAGACCCTTCCACGATTCTTGAGCAGAAGATAATGGCAATAAAACCTGAGGGTCCAGCCAATATATCTTGGCAGAACCTCTATACCCACATGGGTTTTTTAAAACGTGGAAATATACTGGAACCTGAATTAGAGAACTGTTTTGTGTGTTTTTTTGTTTTTGTTTTGATTTGTTTTAAATATATTTCTTTATTGATTTCAGAGAGGGAGAGAGAGATAGAAACATCAATAATGAGAGAGAATCAGTGATTGGCTGCCTCCTGCATGCTCCCTACTGGGGATCAAGCCTGCAACCCAGGCATGTACCCTTGGCCGGAATTTAACCTTGGGACCCTTCAGTCTGCAGGTTGACGCTCTATCCAGTGAGCCAAACCAGCTAGTTCTAGAGAACTGTTATGTAAATTCTTATGTGTACTCAATGTGAATGCACGGTCAGCTAACAGTTGTATTATAGGCTGTTTTATAATAGATTCTTATTCTTTTCCCCATTAAGCATGTGGACCTGGGGCTTTATTCCTATGATAAACACTACTTAGTATTCTAAATGACTTGCATACTTTATCTCATGTAATTCCCACTCAGTATTAGCCCCAGTTTACACAAAGGAAACAAACTCACCCTCAAAGACAGTAAATAACTAATCCAAGGTCACACACGTTGTGAGTGCAAAACAGAGTTTTAGCTGCAGTTCTGCCTGGCTCACAGTTCCATGCTCTTCCCGCTGTCTCTTCTACACCAAGTGCCAATGCAGTAGGTAGCTTCTGATGCTCACCAAGGGGCCCACAACTTCAAATAGTGGTTGCAAGGGCCTTGGCATCTGAGCAGAGTGCCCAGGTGTGCCAGATTCATGGCAGAGCTCCGAAACAGTGCTCTCTTTGTTCAGCAGCATTGAATTTCCCAGCATAACATTAATGTCTCAGGAAATCCTTCCCAAGAAACTATTTCCAGCCGGCAGCCAGTGATTTATGCCAAATGTCTGAATGAGCTGAAGAGAGTTTCCCCTAGTCTGAAGTTGCTTGTCCTGGCAGACAGATGTCTGCACTGCTTCTTACTTGTTAATGAAATCTGTCTCAGCTACACAGGCTTAGAGATCTCTCTCACCTTTATGCTATTTACCTGGAGACAGAGCAAAATAAGGAATTTGAATAGGGAAGCAGACCCTGTCACAACACCCCTCCATCACTGTTTTCCTTCTATTTCCTGACACAATGATTTCATCTTCATTTGTGACCCTCATTGTGGGTGTTTCTCTTATTTCATATACAGTTATTTGGCCTTGGCAGCATCAACTTTACTGTTTGGAAAGATCTTGGACTTTGCAGCAAAGTTACCTAGTTGACTTTGGCAGTTATGTGTCTCAGACAGGCAGGTCTCTCCAGTTTCCCTAAAGGGTGTCTAAGGCCCTGAGTGGAGACCATGTCCTGGACAACACAAAGAGTCTCAACAGCTGTGAGACATTCTCAAAGAAAGTCTAGCACATTTCTTACACTGAAGAAAGTGAAATGCCTAAAGTGAGTTTCTAAAAACCAATCACTGTCTCGCAGCTTCTGGGATTTGCCAAGTAAAACTGCCAGTGCTTGTCTTGAACAGATTATGTAGGAATACCCTGGTGATTTCTAGTGCCTTTGAGATAGAATGATGCAGTTATTCCATTAGGAAAGTTTCTCGGATTTTATTGAGATGATCGAGAATGAGAGTTATAGACAAGTTTAATTGAGAAGTATTGAATATACCACTTTGCTAATTAGCATGAATTTCCTTCCATCAGTTTCTTTTTAATTTGTGTATATTTGTTCCTGAAGGTCTCTTGACAGGGTTAATGTCACCTGCAGGGCCCTGTAGAGAGTTTCTGATGGCCGCCAGTGCCCAGGGCTCCCTCAGTCACTCCCAACCTCTGTGGCCTCGTCCTCCCAAGCCTTCCCAGGGGGCTTACATGCCTTTTCCACAGTGAACAAATTCTACTGTACCTCTCCACTTTCTGGAACACTGTCCCATTATTGCTTAAACTGAAGCCTGATTCTCCCAAAGGACCCAACTTCTGTCATCTTTTTTAAGTGAATGCTGCTGGTCTCTCTCAGTCCCCTATCTCAAACCTCTTAGTTCCCTAGGCTCACTTCTGAGCTCCCATTTGTCCTGGAAAATTCCCAGTTCATTGATGCTCATACTCTTCTTCCACGTGATCATGGCTGACTACCTGATCACTCCCTGTTGGCTAAAACAGGGTGGAGCAAAAATAGGTTTACAGTTGTTTATATGGAAAATAATATAATCCTATGTAATAAAAGAGTAATATGCAAATTGACTGTCACTCCAAGATACAAGATGGCCACCCCCATGTGGTCAAAGATGGCTGCCCCATTTGGACACAAGATGGCCTGCAGAGGACAGCAGTTATGGGCAGTTAAGGGTGACCAGACAAACAGAGGAGGGCAGTTGGGGATGACCAGGTTGGAAGAGCAGGGCAGTTGGGGGAAACCAGGCTTACAGGGGAGGACAGTTAGGGGCAGTTGGGCCAGCCAGGGAGCAGTTAGGCATCAATCAGGCTGTCAGGGCAGTGGTTAGGGGTTGATCAGGCTGGCAGGCAGAAGTGGTTAGGGGCAATCAGGCAGAGGCAGGCAAGTGGTTGGGAGCCAGCAGTCCTGGATTGTGAGAGGGATGTCCGACTGCCTAAATGGGCAGTCAGACATCCCTCAAGGGGTCCCAGATTGGAGAAGGTACAGGCTGGGCTAAGGAACAACCTTCTTCTGTGCACAAATTTTGTGCACTGATCCTCTAGTAATTAATAAACAATAATACAAGACTAAACTGTGCTTCAAGTACTCACAACTGTAAACTTTTTTATATTTTATTGATTATTTACAGAGAGGAAGGGAAAGAGATAGAGATTTAGAAACATCGATTTGAGAGAAACATGATCAGCTGCTTCCTGCACACCTCCTACTGGGGATGTGCCTGCAACCAAGGTACATGCCTTTGACCAGAATAGAACCTGGGACCTTTCAGTCCGCAGGCCAAAGCTCTATCCACTGAGCCAAACTGGTTAGAGCTGTAAACTTACTTTTTCCCCATTCTGTATACAATTTAGCATTTGACTCTCCGAATTTCTCTCTACCCAAGTCATGCACTAGTTGTGAGACTTCAGAGTTTATTTACAACACAATATTCTTGACCTTCTCAATATCTATGCCGTAAATGGCCCTTCCACCTCAACCACACACACCCATTTCCACACTGTAGTAGATACTGTATCACTTTGAATCTCATAACAGTAATTACTTCACCAATTATAATAGTTACCACGGGTTAAGCACTTATCATTTGCCAGGACACTGAGTTATCACGTTTGGAGTTATTGTTTCATTTACTTCTGAATTCAACTCTGTGAGGTGCTATAATGAGTCCATTTTTCTGAGAGGGAAACCAAGGCTCCAAATAGTTCAGTAAATTTCTCAAAGGCATACCCTCATAAGTAATATAGACAAGATGGAGCCCGGGGATGTCTAACGTGTACCTAAGGTCACGTTGGAGACACAGACATAGTTGCCAGCACAGTGGAGAGAGCCTCTATACTAATGCTGAATGCTGTGTGCACAGACATGTCCCTGTCCATTGTTTCTGCACCCACATCACACTGGGCATTGCTGTGGCCCCTGGTGCCACAGCCTCTAGTGGATAAATGGCTGAGAGGATGACACACTTACAGATGCTTTGGAGAAGACAGAGGTAGGATGAAGCAGGTACCTTCCTCATATGCCTAAGACAATCCAAACGCGGACTCCTCAGTGGATTTCAGGGAGTTGGTGGTGGTGATGAGCCTTTTTATAAGTGGTTACCTTTGCTTTTCATTCCCTAACCCCCACTTTTACATCTGTTAAAGCTTACCTATCCTTTATATCTAAAGATAGATCTCCATTTCCAGACCTCCTGAAGCAGGATCAGTGCCATGTTCCACGCTTCCTTATTCTAACACTGCCTTACTAACACCTGTTAGCTTGTCTTCTTCCTCCTCCCCGCTGTGAGATCCTGGGGACCAGGCAGCATGAAATCCTTACAGAGAGTAGCAGATGGAAACCAGTAATTCACTTTTCTTTTTTCAGCTACACAAAATGTAAAAAAGAAGTGGCCTTAATTTTTACATATACTGACATATATTTAATGAAAATCTTTTCTGATAGTTGTTTAAAATCGAAACATGGTTTTAAGAAAATTAGTACATCAACTTCTTTCCTAGAACAAAATATTCTTAAAATAGCAATGAGATACTACAGAATGGCTAAAACTAATAAAATTGATGATACTAAATATATCAAGGATTGATGAGGATATGGAACCATTGTAACTTTGACACATTGCCAGTAGTCATATAAATTGGTACAACTTTAGAAAACTGATTGACTCATCTACTAAAATTGAGCCTTTGCATATTGATTAATTAGCAGGATAATAATGTTATAGGGATATTAGTTGTAATGGCCACAAAATGAGGAAAAAAGAAACCAATTGTACCTTCATAGTAAAATGCATAAATAAAATGTGGTATATTCATGCAATAATACTGACCTGCAATGAGAAATCTGGCTGAATCTCGTAGCTGTCTTCATTTATATAAAGTTCACTAACAAGCAACCAATCGATGTGATATTTCTTTCTCTCCCTTCCATTCTCTCTAAAATCAATCTAAAATCAATGGGAAAAATATCCTCAGATGAGGATTAACAAAAAATAAATAAAAGACCCGGCCTTGCTCTGCTGTCTGCACTGCAGCCACCATGGCCTCCCTCCACACCAGGCTGGGCCTGCATCACCTCCACCAGAAGTCAGGGTCAGGAACTACTATGTTTCAGGAGGTGAGGGTAGGGGTGGGGGCACCGCCAGAACCCAGGACCAGAGAGAAACTGAGAAAGCTTCGGATCTGCAGGTTGGTGGGTGAACTGGGATCACCTGGCAGAGAGAGGTTGCCTGGGAGGTGCAAGTTTCAGACTCTGAGCAGGAGCTCGGGCTAGAGCCTGAGGCTGAAACTCCCAGAGGGAGCAGCTGGAGCACCCTGCCATTGGCCTGCCTGGGAAGTTTCCCGTGGCCGTGGGAGGGGCCATGTGATGTTGCTCACTGTAGCTGGGGCCTGCAGAGGGGTCTGATGCACACCCTACTCTAAAAGGGTCATTTTATTACAAAATAACAATAACTCACAATGAGACAAAGTCACCAGATGGGTCCCTTGAGTACTGAAGATTGTGATTGGGTACAGTGTTGGAATTCAAAATGTCCTGCTTTCCTGACAATACTCCAAATCTGTTATGTAATGTAGTTTTATGTCAATGCAATATAAAAGGACATTACACTTTGAGACAGCATGGAGGGACCTGAAGAGTATTATGCTAAGTGAAATAAACTAGTCAGAGAAAGACAAGTGTCACATGATCTCATTCATATGTGTAATCTGATGAACAAAATAGATCCAGAGACACAGAAGCTTGGAACAGACTGAGAATCTCAGAGGGAAGGTGGAGGAGATGGGTGTGGAGAAAGAGACAACCACTTTACTGTCACCAAGGAACAGGATTTATAAGAAAGTAAGTAGAGAGAGAAAATAAATCTACAGGATTCCAGGATCAGTGAGGTTTATGTTTGCATTTAAGAATATGGGATGGGAATAAAACCGATTCCCTGATAGCTAATAAAGAGGCTGGGCTGCTCTGCTCTTGAGCAGGCTGGCTGGGTCATCTCATTTTATTTAAAAAACTTTGAGGGATTAATGTGGAGGATATATGATAGGATATCTCTTTGCTATCTCTACATGCTTTCATTGGTACCTTTCCCTTAATTATTAGTCCAGGTCTGCACTATTTCCTCATTAGAATTTCTCAGCACATTTAGGCAGTGTGGACTTGGGCAAAATGACGGTAGATGTTCCTTCCTGAGGCCTGAATGTATTTTTCAAAACAATTACCCAAATTCAATTGACCAAACCAGAAACACTGTTCAAAGATCTATAGGTAGAACACAGAAGAACCCACCAAGGAAAAGAGAAATGTTTTGACTCATTTTAATCCTTCTAATGATCTTTAAATGTAGATCATATATTTGAAAGGAAGTATATTCAGGACTTGGAGAAATTATTTCAAATATATTCTGAGTCTAAAATTAAAGTACATACAGGCAGATAATAGATTGCTACACAATTATTATACACACTTTAAAGAGCTGTCAGGAATTTACAAATGAATACCACATTGTCTGAAGTACTTAGAGAATACAGACAGCTTCCTTGAACTAATGCTAGCTGTCAGTTGTTAATGCATAATAATTATGTCTTCACTGATAATTCTTCCAAGAACTTGTTTTCTGTATCTCCTTATTGTAATTCTCTTCCTCCTCCACCCCCTCCTGCTTTTAACCTTCCCTTTTTGATTTTTATTCTTTAGTCTATGCAAAGATGGATTCTCTGGGATATGAAAGGATTTAATAGATGAAAAGGTTTGTAAAGACATAGATGGCACACTTAAATGTAGCGAAATGGCATTAAGCTGAAATGAGAAAAACCAGAAACATCTCTAAAATTTTTCCAAACATCTTTGCATGTCACAGGTATTGTAGGAGAAATTTGGACTTAAGCTATGGGGAAACAGAACCCTGAAATTCAGTTTAATTCTGAAACATTCCTAAACACAGTGCAGGTATTGTGCTAAGACCCCATTTGACCCCAACTCAAGGTTAAGGAAGACCCCGTTTGACCCCAACTCAACAATTGTCAGATCTATCAGTAACTTCTGAGGGATTGGTGTGGTAGAGTAGGGGGAAATGGCTTTGTGGTTAGAAAATGGCTTTTGGAGATTAAATCTTGCTATTACTACTAATATTTAGTATACAGTAAACACCTAAAACATGAATTCCCCTTCTCCCTTCCATTCCTCCCATCTTTGTTGGTGTGTAAACACAGGAAGAAAACAGGAAGAAAAATTCATATATATTTGGAAGTCACAGTCAAAATTCACATACATCTTTGCCATAACATAAACCACAAACTGGCTTTGGAAATGCTGTCTTAATTATCAGCTTCAGATCACTCACTTAGGAAAATCAAAGTTTATCTTACCTTTTATCATGAGCAATTCCCAGTAAGTCTTACTGCTTTAACCTTCAGAAAGAGCACT